AAGATGGGATCGATCCATGTTGGATTGATCATGATATGATTGGGATCGATCTTACTCTAATCGATCGAGTAGTAATGTGATCGATCAAATCTGTGGAAAAATATGGACAGTCACGGATCTGAGATGTGGATGACACCTCAACAAAGCATGAATGGTCACTTCATTCCAATGGTCACTTCAAGGCTCGTGACCCCCTATACACCTCAACAAAGCATGAATGGTCACTTAAATCGGCACGTAACCCCCGGATCTAAATTCGGTAATGAAAATATATATACACATATATACATCTATATACATATGGTTGGAAGCTTCAAAAATGGCAATAAATCAACATAAAAGTCTCTAATCTAAGCATGGCAACATCAAAACACGTAAATCAACTTCCAAAGTGGAAAATAAAATGAAAAACTTACCAAGAATAGAGGAAAGAAGTGGACCGAGAGGTGGGAGATGAAATAAGATTGAAAGTGGAGTTTAGAAGCCTTGGGAGGTCACCAGAATGTCGCCAGAAGTGGGAAGATGATGGAATAGTGTTGGAAAAGAAGGAGGGTCTTGGATCGATGTGAAATCGATCCAAGTGACCCTTGGGTCATATTTTTAAAAATGGTTCCCGACATGTCAGATCGATCACATGGGTGATCAGATCGATCGAACACAGATCGATCATTAAGGTACTCAGATCAATCGAACCCACAAAACGACAAAATATTTTTGAAATTTTTTATTTTTTTTTCTTTTTTTGGAAATTAAATTTTTTTTTTTTTTTGGTAAAATAAATTTTGAAATTTGAAATTTGAAATTTGAAATTTAAAAAGTTAAAGTCAAATGGAAGCACACAGATCGATCGAGTATTGATCGATCGAACTTCGATCGATCCAACAGGTGGAAGCCTGCAGAAATATTCGAATAATACACAGAGAGGTGATTTTTCAGAGTTTCAAAAAAATTTCTAAGTATAGAACACAAATCGATCAAAATAGATACTGGATCAATCGAGCAAAACTTGGATCGATCTGATGAAAATTTCGCACGATACACAGAGAAGTGAAGCATGCAGAGATTTTTGGCACAATAGGGCTAAGAGGTAGGAATATGTAGAGATGGTGTTCGATCGATCGAACTTGCTTTTATAATTGATCGAACAGACACTAAATGCCTAATTCGAAGATGAAAGTGCATGCCTTCCCTATCAAAATCTCAAACAATGTATATGATCCCAGATTATATCTAGACGACGCAAGGAAAGAAGGTAAAAATAAAAATGAGGGAGGAATAGGGTTGAAAACCCTATGAATCACTAGTGTTTAACGTCTCTAGCAAGACGTTGGGCTCTTTTAGCCCGGATCAAAAATATTGTTGTGTATCCCCTCCTTAGCGGGGTGAAAAGAACTTTGAAGCCCACCCAACAAACTATTCCCTAGGAAACTCATTGGATTTGATTCAAAAAGAATTGACGATCCTTGATCAAAGTAATTCTTAGGCTTCCATGCCCTTTCAACACTTGGTTTTAACAAAACATCTTTTGAAACCCTTTTTAAAGATAATCCTTTTGAAATTTTGTCATTAAGCAAAGAATCAAATTTTCCACATTCATTTTCAATGCATTTTTCAACAACACAAACCTCTTCATACGTGTTCAAAGAATTGGGGGTTGGATTGAATAAGTTCAACTTCACCTTCATATGCCCAAATGAAATTTTCATTATCCCTGTCTTACAATTTATGTTGGCATTAGCGGTTGTCAAGCAAGGACGGCCAAGGATAACAGGAATTTGGCTCTTGGGATTTATGACCGGTTCCATGTCTATGACTATGAAATCGACCGCCAAGAAGAATTTTTCAATTTTGATTAGCACATCCTCAATGATACCCCGGGGTTTTTTAATGGATTGGTTGGCTAGTTGCAAAACTATCGACGTTAGTTTTAAGTCCCCTAAGCCCAATTGAACATACATCGAATATGGAAGAAGGTTCACACTTACTCCCAAATCAAGAAGAGCCCGGTTAATGACATGGTACCAATGATGCAAGAAGTAGTATGATGCGCACAAATGTGCACCACTTAAAAATACCACTTATAACAATAGCACATTCATCATTGCAGATTAATGCTATAATAAGGGGTTGTCGAACCACAAGGATTGCTAGTTTATGGCAAACAGAATTGTAAAATTACTTCCTAATTTGATTACAGAGATGATACTTTGATTGGTTTGTCACTTAACCTATGAATTTAAATTTCATAAAACAGTAAATAATGTGATTAGAATAGATTGAACTTATAAAGAGAAGGCTAAGGAATTGACTTCACCTCAACTTCATAAACATGTTAAATTGCACTCAACTTTGGGATAAACAATTATATATATATAATGATGTGTAGGAGCATAAAACTAGCACAACATCGTCAAGAAGATCATACATTTCAGGACTAAGCATAACTCATCTTTGGTTAGCATGGCTCATCCATCTAAGCTAGGTTGTGGTATGAACCATCTTCCCTAGGCATGGGCTATCAAGGTCCTTCAATGGTATGTTGCAGCACATGAAATTAATTAAATATCATAGATTATTTTCAGTTGGTATGGACCATCTACCTAACTACATTAATCTAAAAGTGTAGCATGGTCCATCTTCCTTAAGCATAACCTATATAAATACTCAATTACATGCCAATATAAACATTCCATAAATTCTTTCCCATTGTCACTATAGGAAATCAAGTGTATACTTGTGTCAATGTGGTTTTTTAAGACAAGATAACAACTCAACACAAATATATATTCAATTGATAATCACATACATCAATTCAATGTAAATCACATTAACTTAATGTAAAAACTTCTAATTTATGAAACTGAATATATACAATAAAAATCCCCAAATTGAAACACAAATCAATACATGTTTACTTGGTCTAGGTTACATCAACTCCCTAAAAAGGGAGTTAGCCTCTCATAGATATGGCAGCAACCTCCAAAATTGAAGAAGAGAAGAAAATCTCTTCTCTCACCATTGTTGCAAAGCTTAGCATCCAAGAACCCTAAAAATCCTCTCCCTCACAATATCTTTTCAAAAACCAAAACTAACTAACTGATACAAGACTTTTCCCCTCCTTTATCTTTACATGAGTTTCCAAATAAAATAATACGTTCAAAATTTGAATTTCCACTCAAGATAGAATAAAATCGGGTTAAATTAAAAAGGAGGCCCATAACCTTACGTCCGAACGCGCAGAATGGCGTCCGGACGCAAGGTGCTGAAAGTGGCGTCTGGACGCCAGTTCTTACATCCGAACGTGAGGCTGCTTCTTTGACTCTGTCTTCTCTCTTTTGCTCTGATTGCATCCATCGTCTATTCAGGTCATTTCTCCTTAAAAGCCACTTGATATATAGGCCCGGTATGACTTGTGCTCCAAAAACCCTTAAAACCTTATTCTTATTCCTTTTTAGCAATAAGACCTGCAAAAACATAAAAATGTAGTTAATCTATATACAAAGATCAAATAATGGACTTAACTAATGCAATTAAGGGCGCTTAAATATGCAATATTTGACGGTTATGATAGTAGGTGAACCAGGGTCCTTAAATTTTGGAAGAGTGTTGTATTGCAAAATGGAGCTTACTTGCTCAGTCAAGACAACTTTCTTTGGTGCTTGGCTCTTGTTCTTCCTCTTTTAGGTGCAAAGATCTTTCAAGAATTTAGCATATGCCGGAATTTGTCTAATTGCATCCAAGAGCGGAAGATTAATCTTCACTTGCTTAAACACTTCAATGATCTCATTCACTTTGCCTTGTTATTTTTCAAGAGAATTTGATCCTTTTAAGGCATCCGGAAATGAAGTCTTTGGCTCAAAAACTTTTTCAAAGTCTTTTTTCAACACATTGTCAACACAAGAATTTTTCAAATCATTTCTTAAATCTTTCTCAATAAAAGGTTCTTTTACATGCAATGAACGAGGAATAGGATGTGAAACAGGATGGGTGTCAACTTTTGGTTGCACCGGTTCACTCACTTTATTTTGCTTACTAATTATTGTCTATAATTCTTCCACATCTTAAGGTTGTCACCGCATTGACAAGCTCGATTGTGTGACCTTCCGATGAAGAATTGGTCTCCATAACAAATTATTGCTTGGGTGGTGGATTTAATTACATTTTCCCTTTTTCCCTAGCATTCAAGGTACTAGCTATTTGCCCAACTTGGGTTTCTAGCTCGTAATGGATTGGGAATGAGAATAAAGTAATTAGGTATTTGCCTCCAAAGTACCCAAAGCGGTCAACACTTTTTCTTCAAAAGCGGGACTTCTAGAATTTCCTTGAGAATAAGATTGATTTGGAAAGTGAGTATTTGAAAATTGGTTTCCATGTGATGATTGATAAGATGATCTATAAACTTAGGAACCTTGGCTTTCCATTGGGGGCGGAATATACTTGCCTTGAAAACCAATTTGGGGAAGGTTTAACCCTTCCCCTTGGCTTTTCCAAGAGAAATTTGGATGGTTCCTCCACCCGGGATTATAATGTGTGCCATAGGGATTATTCCTTTGGTTGACAAATACGGCATTCACTTGTTTATGGTTTTCACTTTGCACATGTCCATGTGGACAATTGGAAGTAAAATGTAAGACACTAGAACAAGTCATGCAAGCTTCATTGGAATTATGATGAGAATAGTTGGGGGAGGAAGACACTTGATTCATCAAATTTTAGTTGATCAAAAATTGATCAAACCTTTGAGATAAAGACTTGACTTCGACGGCTATGTCATTGGAATTGTCAACTTGATACAAGCCGACATTTTCCGTCCACCTATGTTTCTACCATTTTTAGAAGATAAGGATCGATGCATTAAATTCTTGCTCATACTCTCATGAAGATGCCATACATCATCCTCATGCCTATTAAGATATGAACCACCCATGGAAGCATCTACCATTCCTTTAAAATTATCCGACAAACTTTCAAAGAAAAATTGCACCAATTGCCTTTTAAGAATGTCGTGATGTGGACATTTCCTAAGGAAGTCATTAAGGTGCTCCCATGCCTCATGAAACAATTCCCCTTCCCCTTGAGAAAATTCCCGAATTAAGGTTCTGATTGCATTGGTCTTTGAAACCGGATAATACTTTTTCAAGAACTCTTATTGCATTTATTTCCAAGAAGTTATTGAAAAAGGTCTTAGATTGTTCGACCAATATTTTGCCTTATATTTAAGGGTGAAAGGAAAGAATTTTAATCTCAAAACCTCTTCCGGCATGTCTGTGTATTTCACGGTAGAACACACCTCAAGAAACTCATCAAGATGTTTGTAAGGTTCTTCACTTGGAAGTCCATGATAATTGGGAAGCATTTAAATAGTTTGCGCTTTAAATTCATAGTGATGTGCTCTAAATGGGGGTAATTGAATGCGTGTAGGTACATTATATTCATTTGGCACATAATGATCACGCAAAGCAAGAGGAGGATTCACAACCGGTGGCGCTACATGAGCACCTTGATTGCCTTAAATAATGGGAGGTTGTGGTGGAACAAAATTTGGCTGAGGCATTCCCAATAAAACATGGCCTTGTTGTTGTTGTGGAATGAAGGGCCTTGGCATGCTTAACGATACTTGAATGTGGTCATGATGGTGCACATTAGGGTAGAGGATACCGTGTTGGTCGATGTGACCAAGGTCCTCCACATGGTCCTCATTGATGTTCTCATTAATGTTCTCCATTGATGAAATGGAGTGATGAGAGCTACCCCTTCCTCTTGGATTGTGAACAATGGATTCAAGATTTGAATTAACTGGAACAAGAGTAGGATTTAATGACCTACGACCATATATACACTATCAAAGCAAACAAACAAACAACAAAAAGCATATACCAAGCACTTCTCCTTCTCGACAAATCAATCAACAAACCTCCACAAAGATTTATCCCATACTCTCATGCTTTGAACAATATGCAAGAAAAGTAATTTGCCTCCACGCGGGCTCACGATTTATCTAACAATTTAAAGACTTGCCTCCATGCGGGCCGACGATCTAACTAAAGAAAGAGTTAAAAAAGCTCACAAAGGGTCATTAAGCAACTTCAAATTAGTTTCAATTTTTGCCTTGCTTTGCTTTGCAATTTTTATATTTTTAGCTTTTTGCACTTTTATTTAGCTTAGCTTGCCTTTTTGCTTTTGAATTTCCCTTTACTTCACTTCCCTTGGCTCAATTCACCTAGCCAATCAAGAACAAACACAATAAGCAACCAAAATAAGATAAAAATAAAGACAAAATCAAAAGAGTACTAATTCCTAATTGATTTCCAAAATACGACAGTGCCAAATCCCCGGCAACGGCACCAAAACTTGGTGTCACTCTAACCAAAGCACTTGTTGCAAAAAGAGTGTAGCGTGGCCAAGTTTAAATTTAGAGATTGCCACTACCACTTCTAACTATAAATATAGCTAGGGGGAGTAGGGATCGTCCCAAGGGAAATGAAGTGTATTTAGCTTCGAAATCAACGTTGGATTTGTAGGTCGAGTGATCAAAGATGTTTTGATTAGTTAATTAAGCTATAATGTAAAGTAAATAGATGCAAAGTAAAGCAATTAAAGTAGAATGAAATGTAGAGAATATAAAAGAAGGATCTTGGGACTTAGAGGTCACCACTAAGCACCACCTCCCTAAAAACTCAATGTTTAATGGATAAGGGGGATTATATGTTGCAATACAAGTGTGTGTCATTAATTGATTCAACAAGCATGGATGACTAAATAAGTATACATTGTCTAGCCAAACTAGTGAATAGCACATCATACCAAATTAAGCCATTATTCCTTCCTTTAAGTTCACAATCAATGCACATCATCAAAGTAGAAAAATATACTACTTGCATTCATAAGTACGGAACATCAAACAACAAGCATGGATTGTCCACCTATCTAAGAAAGTAGGGCAACTACACTACAACTAAGCTAGTGACATGAAGATTAAACTAATTAAACTAAGGGTGTGGCACAATCCATCAAGAAATAAGTATGAACCATTAAATAAACATCAAGAGTATTCTATTTAAGCACCATGCCTTGACTATCACTAGATTCATGATATCAACACACATAGACATGCATCAATGTCACAAAACCTAGAGATAAACATATGAACATCTATTCTAGCATACATAGACATACTAATAGAATGAAATGATCAATTGGAAGAATTAAACTACCCAAATCATTATAAAAACAAGATTCATATATATATTAAATGTCAAGATAAGAAATACAACACAAATCCCCATTAATTACAAAACATTAAAGTCTAGGAGGCACGCTTAGAGCTATCTCTAACCCCAAGAGAATGGTTTAGCCACTTATTGATGTGGTCATCCAACCCTCAAGGGCTATCTCAATGGTAAGAATGATCTTCTTTTCCTTGATGGAAACCCTAGATGAGTGGAAGAACTCTCCCAAATGGTGTGTATCTCTCCTTAATCTCTAGACTCCTCCAACCTCTCTTGTAATGGTTCCTTTCTAAAGTGTATATCTTGTAAAAATAGCCCAAAATCCTTATATAGGAAGCTCAAATGTCACACCCAATGGTTAGACCCCGTGCACTAGGACCTCCAAATGATTGTACCACGAGCACACCTTTTAATTGCCTAGAACTCTGTTTTTTTCGCACTTGAGGAGGTTCGATCTATCACAAGGATGGTTCGATCGATTGAATTATGGCGGCGCCTTTTGGGAATAATGACAAAGCCGAGATATTTTCATGATATTTTGGGAAAAGGACAAAAGTGGTAGGTGGGGATAAGATCAAAAATGTTCGATCTATCGAAGGAATGTTGGATCGATCGAAGAGGGAAATTTCCTGAAGATAAGGACAAGAGGCTCGATCCATCTTGGCATGGTTGGAACGATCACTGTGAGATCGATCAGAGCTTAGTTCGATCGATCGAAGAATGTTGTTTTCCACCACTTTGCTCCTTTCTTCCACTAAGCTTGAGATTGTATCTTTTATGCTCTAATTCAACTGAATTGATTTATTTTGGGGATAAGTGCCTGAAAAGGAAAATAACATGAAATTAGACTAAAATAGTAAAATAAGATAGATTAAGGTCCTAGAATACTCAAGTTTAAGGGGTTTAAATGCGCACTTTTTAGCGCTTATCAGGCTTGAGACCAAATTTGGCATTTTTGCCTTAACCGGTCATTGTTTTGATACAAAAGGGGTAAGATTCTCATTCTTCTTGTTCTAAACCATTTGTATGCTTCAATTTTTCAAAGAAGGGAGTCACGAGCCATAAGTGACCATATTTTTTATATCTTTGAGGTGTACGGGGGTCGCGAGCCCTAAGCGATCATTTTTGTTCTTTAAATTGCTTAGAGGGGGTCACGAGCCTTGAGTGGCCATAGGTTGTTGATTTGTTGAAAAAGGAGGATGGGATTTTTGTGAATGGAGTTAGGCTTTGAATTTATGCATCATTTCTTAAATGCTTCGTATGTTGCATTTTATGTCTAAAATTCATCTTGGAACCTATGCATCATAACTTGCTTAAGATTGTAGTGTAGTTAACCATGTCCAACACTTATTTCTCTATTTCATGATGTGCATGCTTTCTTGAGTTCTAAATAGACCTTTGCCATGTCATAATTGCTCCATTGGACTTCATGTTGAAAATTATAGACATTCTTACTTAGGAAATGATAGATATCATCCTAAGGTCTACATGCTTGAAAATTGCCAAATCTCTTAAGTTATAGGTTTGTGAACTCACGTTGCATATTTTGTGCACATCACATCCTAGACTTGTCACATTGGTTTCATTCTTGCAAAAATTTTCAGAAAGTGACTTTGTGTTCTCTATTTGCTTCCAATGCACCATTTTGCATGTTTGTGATTGTCTAAATGTGCCATAATCCATTCTTATCTTATTGAAGCATGTTTTAGTTCTAAATTGACAAAAAAATGGTTTAAATGCTATTCTTGAAGTCCTCTGGATAAATTCTTGCACAAGCATGTTCATTTCTGTCTATTTTCTATTTCTAATTCATTCAGGCATGCTCAGTGTTTCATTTTCGATACTTATCTCATTTCTGGATCCGTGCACTGATATCTATATATTGTTTTTCCAGATGCAGCGGAGTAAATCTATTGCCACAAAAGGGAAGAAAGTTATCCAGCCTCCATAACCACCCCCTTCTCCAAAGAGGGAGTCTTCTTCTGAGTCTGTAGTGGCTGGATCATCCTCTATTCCTTTATCCTCCTCATCCAGTGCCTTTTCCAGTGCACATTCCATGGATCTACAGGCACCCATTGTCAAAGCAGTGCTTGATCCATCCTTTTCCAAGAGAGGACTGGATCCAGAGTATGCATTTGATACAGATTTCTTTTCATGGTTTGAGCAGACCAAGTGGGGATTCGACGAGATCTCCCGCCGTGGCATTGCTTCTATTCTAATGCCGATAAATGACAAGGTGTACCCATGGTTTGTAACTCTGTTCTTCCAGCACCTCCATCGAGATGAGGTTGACCCCTAGATCCTACACACTACAGTGGATGGGCAAGACATTATTATTTCCACAACTACTATCGAGATAGCTTACGGATACCCCCCACCTTCCTCAAGCGGTCACAGAGTCAGAGCAGCCATTGCATCCTCTTATCACAGAGTATCCGTTAGAGCAGGCCACGGTTGCATCTCTTTCTCTTCAGAAAGCCTATCTAGGCAACACCTTTATAGAATGGGTAGATCTCCCACCGCCATTATGGTTCATTGATACGATGTTATACCGTAATGTCTTTCCCTTAAGGCATAAATGTGAAGATCGTGTCTTCTTTTCCAATTCCTTTTCCGATTTTCCGTCATTCATTTTTTATATTATTTATTTATGTTTTAGAAAATGGTCCAAGACTCAAAAAAAAATTTAGGGCAGATTCAAAGGATTATACTAAACAAATGTCTATAATCACAGATGGACAGTAAACAAATGTTATACTAAACAAATGTCCATAATCACATATTGACAGTCTATAATCACACACAATATAAGAAGTAGTAAATGAAATATAGGTAACATTTTTTCAAGCTCAATTGCAAATTTGTGAAAATGACCTCA